CTGCCCCGGGGCCGCTGGTTCTGCCCGCCCCTCCCCTGACTGCGTGCCGCTGCTGGGAGAGGGGCAGAGCAGCCAGCAGCCAGCAGGGGCTCTTGGCTCCCCATGCGGAAGGGAGAAGGGCCCAGGCTGCTTTGGGCTGGAGTCACGGGGTCGGCAGGATGCAGCCAGGCTGCTCAAGTGGATGCACACGCTGCAGGCAGTTTCCTTTTTGAAACCTCCTGTGCCTGAGCAGCTCGGGTTATTTAGTTGAGTTGTTTGCTCAGGATATAAAAGGTTTAGAATGCGTAACGGAAACATGGTGAGTAAAGTTTTAAATGCTTTATTCCTTTACCTGCTGTTTATTGCAGCTACTCCAGTAAGGAGAGGTGGAGCTCAGCACAGCTCAGGGTGTATCTGTCAGATTATACTTCAAAGATAAATCTTGACAGCATTTAAAAGAATTTTTTCCCAGCTTGTACAACAGAAGTAGCTTAATTCTTTTTTCTCTGCTCTGATAAACAGAGACTATAAACAGCGTGGACAAAAGGAAAGAAGAGACACAGAATCATAGAATCAATTTTCTTGGGAGACCTTTAAGATCATTAAGTCCAACCATTAACTCAGCACTGACATGCAAAGGATTGTCTTTATCTTCAGGCCTTGAGAGTTAATACTAATCACAGAACTCTAGAGCAGTTTGGGTTGGAAAGGACCTTTAAAGGTCACCTAGTCCAACCCCCAACATCCTTTCCCTTTCATCAGATAATGTGTGTGAGGCCATAACTGCTGGTGTTGATTCTGAACCAAACAATGGTGCATTTAACCACCAGCATTCCTGGCTGAGTTGGAGCTAATGGTGTCCAGGGCCCATTTCCCACCCTCCCAGTCTCAATCCTTCAGGGTCATGACAGAGCTGGTGAACAGAACCCGTTCCCCTGGAGGGATCTGAGCCACTCCACCCCTACCAGACGTGGTGGGCTTTGCACTCAGGTGTCCTCCTTGCTCCACAGACCCCTGGATGGCAGCAAACCAGCAGAGACCAGCCAGCCACAGTCAAGTACAACAGGCTACAGCCAGCCCAGCCTTGGCTACGGGCAGAGCAGCTACAGCTACCCTCAGGTGCCTGCCAGCTACCCCATGCAGCCGGTCACCGCGCCGCCCGCCTATCCCCCCACCAGGTAACCCTCCCCTGGGGCAGCTTGGGCCCAAAAGGGCCTTCCTCAAGGGCTTTCAGGTGTCAAAGGAGGCCGTGGGAGGAGGGGGGTGTGGTTCTTGTTGGGGTGTTTGTTGTTGGAGGGAAGATGAGGCTGTGATGGGTTGGATCAGGGTCTCTGGTGCACGTCTGCAAGGGCATAGAATCGTTTTGGTTGGGAAAGACCTTTAAGATTGAGTCCAGCCATTGACCCAGCACTGCCAGGTCCCCACTGACCCACATCCCTCAGCACCACATCTCCACGGCTTGGAAACCCCTCCAGGGGTGGGGGCTCCACCACTGCCCTGGGCAGCCTGGCACAGCCCTGGACAACCCTGACAGGGAAGAAGGTGAAATGATGACAGAAGTTTTGAAGACATTTCCTAGATTCCGAGTGTTACAGAAGCCTTTTGTTCATCACGCTTGGCTTTGACCAGGGGCTCACCTCTTCCCCACAGGCATCCTCAGTATGCTGGTGCTGACTTCTGAAGTGCCTCTTTTGCAGTTCTCAGAGCCTCAGGAGGGACTGGTTTTTTAGCCATCAGCTGAAAATGCTGCAGTGCCAAGGCAGAAGGGAGGCTGGAACTTGCACGGCCACTGATTTTTGCCCTGGCACTTGGGCCTCTTTCTAGTGGTGTGAATGAATTGTGACTGGTCGTGTGGATGTTCCTTCTAGCAATCTGACAGGCTGATTTTGTCTCCTGGTACCAGACCAGCCTCCAGAGAATCCCAGCCTGGTTTGGGTGGGAAGGGACCTTTCAAGGCCATCTAGTCCAACCCCCCTGCAGGGAGCAGGGACATCCCCAACTAGAGCAGGTTGCTCAGAGCCCCATCCAGCCTCACCTGGAATGGTTCCAGGGATGGGGCAGCGACCACCTCTCTGGGCAGCCTGGGCCAGGGGCTCACCACCCTCAGCAGCAAAAATCTCTTCCTGCTCTCTAGTCTAAATCTCTCTCTTCTAAAAAGTTTAAAACCATCACCACAAAGGTGCTGTCAGAACAGGCCCTGCTCAAAAGTCTGTCCCCAGCTTTCTGCCAGGCCCCTTTAAGTCCTAAAAGGCCACCAGAAGGTCTCCCTGGAGTCTTCTCCTCTCCAGGCTGTCCAAGCCCAACTCCCTCAGTCTTTGTTCCTGGGATGACTTCACCTTTTTAAGTGGTTTACAACCCTGCATATGGCTGTTAATGGCATTACCTTCTGGAGGGAGCTACTTCTGCACCCTAATACCAGTGCATTGGCTCATCCTTCCTTCTCTCGGATGCTTTCCTCTTCCAGCTATCCCTCCACACAGCCGAGCAGCTATGATCAGAGCACTTACTCCCAGCAGAGCACCTACGGGCAGCAGAGCACCTATGGACAACAGACTAGCTATGGCCAGCAGAGCAGCTATGGCCAGCAGCCACCACCGACCAGTTACCCACCCCAGACAGGATCCTACAGCCAGGCCCCGAGCCAGTACAACCAGCAGAGCAGCAGTTACGGCCAGCAGAGTGAGTGGGGGTGGAGGAGAGGGGTCATCTGCCTTCCCCGGGCCACTGGGGTGGGCTCTGAAGGGGGCTTGATGTGATTTTGGGTCTAAAGCTCACAGCTCTGTCGAAGGGAGAGGTGAGTTTTGCCCATTCCTTGCTGGAAACGACTGGCCTGCTGTGGTGGGAAATGGCTGTACTCCCATCGAGGGTGGGAGGGTGGCTGAAAAACTCAGAAGCCCAGAGTACTGTTGTGGCTGGAGCAGGAACGACTCAGAGTCTTAGAAAGGTTGGAAGAGACCTTTGGATCAGTGGGTCCCACCATCCCCCCAACACTGCCAGGTCCCCACTGACCTGTGTCCCTCAGCACCACATCTCCACGAAACCCCTCCAGGGGTGGGGACTCCACCATCTGGGACAGCCCTGGGCAACCCTCCAGGGCAAGAAATTGTTCCTCAGGGCCAACCTAAACCTTCCATGGCACAATGTGAGACTGGTTCCTCTTCTGTTCACTTGTCCCTTGGGAGCAGAGCCCGACCCCCACCTGGCTCCAGGCTCCTGTCAGGAGCTGTGCAGAGCCAGAAGGTCTCCCCTGAGCCTCCTTTGCTCCAGGCTCAGCACCCCCAGCTCCCTCAGCTGCTCCTCCCCACACTTGGGCTCTAGACCCATCCCCAGCAGCTTCGTTGCCCTTCTCTGGCCACACTCCAGCCCCTCAAGGTCCTTCTGGCAGGGAGAGGCCCAGAACTGACCCTGGGATTCAAGGGGCAGCCTCCCACATGCCAAGTCCAGGGGGACCATCCCTGCCCTGGTCCTGCTGGCCGCGCTCATGTTGACCCAAGCCAGGACGCTGGTGGCCCTGTTGGCCAGTGACTATCAGGACAGCGTTGTGGCCCTGGCAGAAAGGCTCAGAAAGGGGCCGGGCAGCTTCAACGTGCAGCTCCCTGACCTGTTTGTTACCCACCTCCTCAGGTTCCTTCCGTCAGGACCATCCCAGCAGCATGAACGTGTACAGCCAGGACCCTGGAGGCTTCCCTGGCCCAGGAGAGAACCGCAGCATGGGCATCCCCGAAAACCGGGGCAGGGGCAGAGGGGGATATGATCGTGGAGGCATGAGCAGAGGTGGGCGGGGAGGAGGACGCGGTGGAATGGGGTAAGAGCAAATCTTTTTCTCCTTTTCTCTAATTCTGGTTTACCCATAGGATTGGAGGTGGAAAGAAGGGACTGAAAGGTTGACCTAATCCCAACGGTGCTTCCATGGGGAACATCTCTCTAGCAGCATTGCTTTTAATCTCTGGAAATCTTTTCCTGGGGGAAATAGGAGCAGGATCTGGTTTTGTTTCATCCTGCAGATTGGTTGGGCCCCAGGGGGAGGAATCAGGTGGTATCACTAAACCTGGAACTTTCAGCTCCCTTCATGGTGGCACAGAGGTGAATCCTCTGTGAGGTTTAACAGCGCGGATCGAACACACACAAAACCTTCGCCAGGCCCGGGGGTCGCTCCCTGGGCCTCAGCAGGGGGGATCCTGGCAGCTGAGGTGTGTCGAAGGTCCTGTCAGCCCCACGTTAGACCTCAACAGTAGCGCTGCTGCCAGCGCCTGCCCGGGGCAGGTCACTGCTCTCCAGGCCATGACTCCACAGAGCCAGGACACTTAGAGCTCGAGGAAAGACCCCGAGAAGATCCAGAGCGCTTGCCTTGGCCTCCCAGGAACGCTCCCCCTCGGAGCTTTCGGGTGGTCTGAGCCAGCCGGGCCGTTTTTGGATGGCAAAACCCAGTGGGGGTGAACCCACGCCCTGAGGTGGGCAGCACGTCCCTGCCCGGGGCGCTGGGGAGGAGGACGGATCCCAGAGGTTCCCGAGGGAAGGGCGCCCTGGCTTTGTGTGTGTTCCATCCCCTCACACCGTCGCTCAGAGCTACGCAGAGTGTCCCTCGGCCTCTCCTGCACAGGTGGCTCCTCCAGGCCTTTGGCAGCCCGGTGGCAAGCGGAGCAGGGCCGTGGCTAGTCCCATTCTGCATAGCTCTGTCGAAGCGAACTGAAGCGGCATGAAATCTTTATCAGAGGTAGAGCTGTGGTGTAGGGGAAGAGGAGGAAAAAGCCTGGCCCGTGTTGGGACAGAGCCTGGCTGGAATTGGCTGGAGTGGGGCAGGATTCAGTGGTTCTGCATAAAGATTTCAGCCATGCCGTGTTTCTCTCTAACGGTTTAAAGTAGATGTTAGACACTGGAAATGTCGGATCATCACATCTTCAAATTTCTAGCCCCTCCGGAGCTCCTCATGCCAAAGATTTGTCATCTCTCTCTTGATTCCACACCCTAATCCGAGCTTAAATCGCGTACGTAGCGATTCCCACCTGCCCAGAGCGTGGCCGAGGGTCCCCTGCTCTACGGACGCGGGCTCTCTGCTGTCCCTAGAGGAGGTGGCTGCCCCCTGAGCGCCCGGGGCGGGGCGGGCCGGGGAGCTCGGCCCTTCTTAGCACGCTGTGGTGATGGATTTCAGTGTCTCCGGCAGGTAAGGAGCTCGATGTTCTTAACGTGCCCTTTTTCATTGACTCAAGTTATTTTTTTTATTATTTTTTTTTTTGATATATTTTCCTTGGCTGTTAAACATGGAAACTTTTTAACATGCTTTGTCGCATTTATATGCTACAGGTTACAAAGTGAGAGCCTTGTTTACACCTCAGTACTTAAAAAGTACCCGTACTCAGTACTCAGCCGGCAGCATAATGAAAAGTGGGACTAGACACGGTGTCCATATGGAGAGGAAAAAAATATACAATAGAATATATATATTTTTAACCAAATGTATTGATTGTATAAATGGAATCCTTCTGTAACTTTGGTAACTGCGTACTTGTTGTCTGGTAATAAAAGCAGAGGAGGTAATAACTGCTTTAGAAATTGTGTAACGTTAACCAAGTGTAACCGTCTGTGTTTAAACAAGAGCGGCGTGTACGTTCCCGAGAGGAGGCCAAGCTGCATGCAACAGCTCCAAACTCTGTACCACGGCTTTTTTACCCACTATTAGAGGTGCAATACTGGCTAGAAAACAGGCAGTGCTCTCCCTCCTCTGCTCCTCCCCCAGACCGCTCTCCTGCTTTGCCAGAAAGAGCGAGAAAATCTCCCAAATCCTCCTCAGGTGTGACTGGAAAGCGGGCTCAGCCCGACGCTTCGGCCCCAGCTTTTCCCGAAAAGCCCCAGCCCTCATTGGGCACCGGCCGAAATCTGCCGCCCTGGTCTGTGTCCCCAAAGCTGCACCCCAGGCCTCGGAGCCCCAAAGTTGTACTCTGTAAGCTCTCTCTCCCCCCTCAGAGATGTGTTCCATTCGGTAGCAAGCGGAATGTATGGCTTTGTGAGCGGAAATGTCAGCAGGACTGTGTCGTAGGCATCGCGCGAGGGTTCCTCCTCTTCCCTTTCTGAACTGTTAATGTCAGGGACCCGCGGGCTCCTTTCGCCGAGAGGCTGAGGGTGCACCTTTGTGGACGCACAGAGGGGAGGGAGTTGACCAGCAAACCACCACACCCCCCCCGATTTTTCATCCAAAAACGCCCCGTTTACAACGCTCCTGAACATACCTTTTTTTTGGCCAAGTATTGCACCGCTAATACCCGTAACCGAGCCACGCCAGGGCACCCGACAGCCAAGTGGTGGCTAAAAGCAGACAAGCGAGGTTGCCTCTATATGTAAAGGAGATTGGAGGGAGCTGCCCTGAAGAAAGGCACTAGTGCCGAGATGAGAGAGAGAGAGACAGATGCATTGTCTGGAGATGTTTAGCCAGTGCCCTGCTTCCCTGTGAGCCGCAGCGGCTCCGAGCGGCACTGCCTTGGTAAAGGGAAAGGCCTTCATTTCTTCGTTTATCCCCCCAGCAGCGCTGGAGAGCGAGGTGGCTTCAATAAGCCTGGTGGTAAGTTTTTGAGCATTACAATGGATAGTGTTAAAAAAAAAAAAAAAATTAAAAAAAAAAACCAATTTCGAGTCAGTATTTTAGACCAAAGTGTAATTTTTATTAGTTTTTTAAGTGGTTTAAAAACGTGTGCAAACGAGTGACGGGCACTGCCGGCCATGCCTTTAGGGGTACGCGGTGACAGGACGCAGGGGAGCGTGTGGAAGAACTGAGCAACCGCTTCTGTAATTTGGGGAGAGAACGAACCGGTTTGGATCGAACCAATCTGTTGTGGTTTTTTTGTTTTTGTTTTTATTTTTGGTTTTTTTTTTTGCCTGTAAAGTTAATTGTTTGACGCTTAAACGTTAAAACCGATTGGCTTGGTCAAGCGTTGTTAAACAAAAAACCAAAACAACCAAAAAAAACAACGAAACCAAAATCAACCAAAACCAAACCTAACAAAACCAAACCACCAAGACCAAAGGCAACCCCCCGAGCCCCGAAGCCCCCGTGTCCCAGTGGTTAACGGGCAGCGAGCGGCCCGGCCCCGGCGCGGAGGGTCGGCCCCAGCCAGCGGTGCTCAGCGTAGCTAGTGGTGTGTGTGTTGGCCTCCCTGCCCGCTCCCCCCGCACTAACACTGCTCCCTGTGCTTCTCTCCCGCCCGGCAGGACACATGGAAGAAGGACCGGACCTGGATTTAGGTAAATGGCCAAGAATCCCTCCGGAATCTCGTCTCCAGACGCAGATGTGCCGGCCCCTGGCTGGTTCTATGGGTTTATTTCTCACGTCCTGGTGCCGCCGGGGAGCCAGGCTGGTGGCAGAGTGCACGTGGTTGGGAGAGGCTTGCCCACCTCCCTGGCAGCTGGTGGAGAAATGAGCCTGGCAGAAAGATGGGGACCGAGTTCTGAGCAGGGCCTGTTGGGGCAGGACAAGGGGGATGCTTTGGAACTAAAAGAGGGAGATTTAGACTAGGTACAAGGAAGAGATTTTTGCTGCTGAGGGTGGTGAGCCCCTGGCCCAGGCTGCCCAGAGAGGTGGTCGCTGACCCATGCCTGGA